CTTGAGGAAATTCCCTGGATCCATTCTCCCCTCAAATTCTGGTAGATTCACCTTTATTCTCAGCTCTTTAATCTTCCAATAGGCATGTTATCTTTGTATCTTCCAATAGGCATATCATCTCTGCATCTTCCAACAAGCACTTCATCTTTGTATCTTCCAACAGGCAATGCATCTCTGTCTCTTCTAATAGACACCTTATCTTGGAATCGTCCAGCAAACACCTCATCTTTGTACCATCCCATAGGCACCACATATATCGGCCACCTCTGATACTATATCCCGAAGCGTCTTGATCAATCTTTCTCTCAATTGAAATCATCCCTACAAAACGATTTCAGATGTTCTTCTTGTTCTCCTTCACGGGTCTCACTATTAAGGTCGATGATAATACCGCACAGAGTTCTTTCCTCAATGGCATTGAGTCGATGTAGCACTTGACAGAGTAGTCATTGTATGATCCATGGTAGATTCCTTATCAAATTTTAAAAATTGTCTCTTCGGGAACGTGGTTAGAGTTTCAAGTGTAGGTAGGTAGAAGGTGTATAAGGTGATGTAAGGCGGGAAAGAAAAAAAATTTACATCGAGGCGTGGAAGCTAGAAAACTTAAGATAGAACTAGGGTTATGCTAACTCTAATGTCAAATGATACCGGAATTAATACAAACCATAATAGAGAAAGCAAACATTATTACTCAAAAAGCAAATAGAGTTACAAACAAAGATATTTGAAACTAGGAAATAACAAAGACATAACACGACTCAACAAAAGCTTAGGTCGAGTGAGGTGCTATCGTGGTTTACGGAGGACAAGCTTGCATGGAAGTGAGGGAATGGTCAAAAGGCAGCAACGGACTTCTCTGATTGGTTGTCGAATGATAGGTGGGCGGGAGTAGGGTATGGTGAGGTGGTTGCAGCATGGAAGTGGTGGGAAGGCGTTGGAAGGGTCGGGTAGGCTCAAGATAGCAAGGAGAGGAGTTGTGGGGTTGTGGTAGCATCGTTGGACAGTTGGACAGCGATATGACTACAAGGGAAGGGATTGTGGTGATGAGACAGTGATGTTGGATGGCGAACAGGGGTAGAATAGCAAAAAAAATGGGTAGCGGGCTACAGAAGAAAAGGTGGAGGTCAGAAAAATTGAAAGCAAAACAACAAAGGGGAGGGTTGTCCATAGGTCGCCATAATGAGGGGATGGTTGGAAATTGTAGAGATGAGTTGGGTGATGACAAATATCCCCTCGGGATCGAGATACATAGCGAGCATCACTTGAATTATTAGAGACAATTCTCACCTAGGAGTTACATTCAGGGCATCTTCTCTCTTTCAAATACAGCCCTAAAAGAACAACACCAGCAGCAGATGGTTGTCCTGAACAGAAACATAAGCCAAAAACTGACTTTAACCCCTAATACAACATATATATAAGCAAGAACTAAAAGTAATGAAAGATAATAGGAAAGAAAGCATAAGAAAAGAAAACGGGACTGTTTTGATGGCCTGCCTCCCATCTCCAGTGATTTTGAATACTACGGACTATAGCAGTTACAGTACCACGAGAAAACAGTGCAGAAAACTCCCACATCAATCACCTAGGGGTGGGGGAGCTTCTACCTCATTCATCGAAACTTCTTTCTGCTCGTTGAAAGTAGATGATCTACTTTAATCTCCTGGGGTTGAGTCTTCGATTGCAGTCCGAGAAGCACCTAAATTTCACTAGTAAATATATTGTTCCCCAAAACACCTGAGGAATTTGTCCCACTTGCGAGCAAATATCTATATCGGTCCAACCATATGGGGGGTACCCTGTTGAGCTGAACAGGGATTGCATGTCAAATGTATTTTGTTGAATTCTCGAAAAGCAACCCAAAATTAATTTAATCTATCTGAGATGAGAACAATTTAAATCTCTCCGAATGATGGCAGCAAGGGTGGCAAGCTGGAGAACATGATGCTCTGAAACTCTATGTACTGGTTGTCCTATGTTTGTTACCAGTTGTTTGCTCTCACAGCCCTCTATCATCACTAGGATTGATCCTTCAAATGTTTCTCTGCTAGCAAGAGAACTTGCAGTCTCTAACTCTGTGGAAAGCGGGATTGTGCGATTGCCATCTTTAGTGAAGGAATAGGTGTTCCTGAAGCATACTGAGTACTACGATCATATTTCCACAATATCCCCAAAAAAAGGTGACAAACATCCATGGGCACCACATCGCACCAAACAAAATCTTGCAGTTGGCCCCTAATCAAAAAACTCCATGAGTTACCTCTTGTTAATACTGACTCGAATCTTCTTCAACCATGTTAGAGAATACGACCAGAGATATCTCTAAGTCGTGATGCTCAACTCGTCCACCATTAGTGTTGATGCCATAATCTTATCGATACGTCCATCGATAGTGGCGTTGCATACCTTGCCCTTCACAGTACACTGGGTGTGAAAAATATTATGGCAAAGACATTGTTGCTCTCTCACGATCTCAGCCTGTAAGATTCATCAAACCATGAGCATCTCGCTCTCATCCGGTGGAAGATGGAACTTCTCACCCCTTTCTTCAATTGTCACTGTGTCGCTAACTTCCTCCAATGCCCCCTGTTCGGTGAGAGTCACAACTCGGCTCATCCGACAATTGGAAGCAATATGTCCAAAACCATGACATCTGAAATATTTTCTAGTAGGGACTATAGTAGGTGTGCTACTCTTCTTAAGCTTCTACTCACTCACAGCGGCTCTATCCTATTGGCTCTATCCTGCTCCTAACTAGTCTGTCCCACTCCCTGAGGCATACTCCTCTTTAGTTCTCCAACTATGCTTGGTTGTCTGACTGGCGGAGGCTGCTTATTCTACTTCTAATGTCTCTCTACATTCTGTGTTAAGATCTGCACGTCCCTCAATGTCCAATAGGGTTGCAAGTGGACCATATTAATGATGGCAGGCTTTAGGCCTCCCAAATACCTAGCTATAGTGTGCTCCTTCAGCTCACACTTCAATTAAGCTGCATAATGGTTGTCATGTACTCCACTGATAGCTCTTATTGTACGTAGTGGAGCTTTAAAAAAATATCCTGGCAATATTGCGGAGGTGGATATTGTCGCTGCATCTCCCGTTTCATCTTCCCACATAAAGTGATTGTCTCATCCTTTCTCTGTCTCGCCCATTTCAGATTCACCTTCCACAAAGAGGTGTTTGTCTTCAACTTGACAGCAGCGAGTTTCATTCTTCTGTCATCGGGCACCTCCTTGTATTCAAAGATCCGCTCAACAATCAGCATCCACTGGAAGAAATCGCCTGGATTCATTCTCCCCTCAAAGTTTGGTAGATCAACCATCATTCTCAAATCTCTATATCCTCAATAACAAAATTATATATGTATCTTCCAATAGACATCTCACTATGCATCTTCCAATAAGCACTTCAGCTCTAAATCTTCTAACAGGCACTGCATCTGTGTCATCTAGCAGGCACTGCATCTGTCACTTTCAGCAGGCACTGCATCTCATTATAGTCGAATAGACTCCTCATCTCTATACCGTCCAAAGGCACTTCATTTAATGGCCTCTGGTACTATATCCCAAAGCGTCCTGAACAATATCCCTCTTCATTGAAATCATCCCTACGAATGGGTCTCGGATGTTTTTCTTGTTCTCCTTCACGAGTTTCACTATTACGGTTGACGATGATCTAACACTGAATTCTTTCCTTAATGACATTGAGCCGATGTAGCACTTGACCGAGTAATCATTGTATGTCATCCATGGTAGATTAGTAATCAGATTCCAATAATTGCACTTCGGGATTGTGCTTAAGATTTTCAAATGTAGGTAGGTAAAAGGTAGTGTGTAGGGTGATGTAAGGTGGGAAAAAGCAAAACTCTGGGTGGAGATATGGATGCTAGAAACCCTAAGATAGGATCAAGGTTAGGCTAAATTTGATACCAAATGATACTGAAGTTAATCCAAACTATAATAGAGAAAGCAAATATTATTACTCAAAAAATAAATAGACTTACGACCAGAAAATAAGACACAAAACAACTCAATTAAGGCTTAGGTCGAAAGAGGTGATGTTGCGATTTATGGATAAAAAGCTCGCATGGAAGTTGGGGAATGGTCGAAAGGCAACAAGAGACGGTTGTGGTTGATTGTTGAATGGCAGGAAGGGGGGCAGCCAAAGGGTAGGGTGACATGGCTGTGACAGGGAAGTGGTAGCAAGGCATTGGAAGGGTCAAGTAGGCTACCAACAGCAAGGAGAGGAATTGCAGAGCTGCGACAGCATCTCCAGATGGGTAGACAACGATATGATAACATGGAAAGGAATTGTGGGGATGAGGCGGTAATGTTGGATGGCGGGATAGGGGTAGAATAGCTAAAGGAATGAGTGTCAGGCTACTGCAAATAAGGTGAGGTCTGAGACAGCAAAAGCAGCAAAGCAGGTGGCTAGACAGTGAGGTGTAGTGAAGCAGAAGAGTGGCGGACTGTGGAACAACAAAAGGGAGTGTTATCTAGGGACTGCGGTAGCAAGGGGGTGGTTGGAAAGGTTGTGGAGGAGTTGGGCAAGGAAAAATACCCTGCGGGATTGAGCTACAACCAGAGCACCACTCAAACCTTGGAAATGATCGCCAGTTCATCACCTCGGACGAGTTATAACTAGAGAACCTTCTCGCCTTCGAATACAACCCTAGAAGGGGAACACTGACAGCCGACGACTGTCCTAAACAGAAACATACGCCAAAAACTGACGTTCAAACTTCAATACAACACATATATAGGAAATGACTAAAAAATGAATGAAAGATAATAGGAAAAAAGCATTAGAAAGAAAAACGGGATTCTTTCGGTGGCACGTTTTCTGCCTGCAATTTTAAATCCCGCGGTGCTGTAGCAGTTGCAGTGCCACGAGAAAATAATGCGGGAAAGCTCCCGCGTCAAATCTAAAATTAGAATGAGATAATATTTCAATAAGGTGTGAATAGATGCAAAGTAAATAAAATGCCTATATCAGCATACCTGTACAGACAAGCATGATTGATGGTATGTAGATGGGCAATTATCACAGCATATCAGCTCACCACCGTCAGCACATATACCACAGGTATCATCATTTTGATCCACCTCCACAACATTCATAACTTTCAAGCGCCCTTTCCTCAATTTGTATTCCGCAGACCATGCCTGAAGCTGACAGACTGTGTATGGCCTACCAGATTTCAGGTAAAGATTCAAAGAAGGTCTCTGTTGCCTCAAACCTGCATGAGCCTTAAACCCTGAAACAGAAAAAAATTGAGAGCAGCAATTGCAGATAATTCCATCCCTTGTAAGCCAGCCATCTTTGATCACCTCATGATTATTTCCCTCTCGAAATTCAATAACATCTTTGAGAGATACAACAGCCATGTCAATCAACCAGCCTAATATTGTTCTTGTTCCCACAAAGAATTGTTTTCCGTCCGTGGAAAGCTTTCCATCACTTCCAAGATTCCTCGGAAGTAACCTGCAACCCCGCTTTTGACTCTTCATCTTTCTCAATGGTTCCAGTTGAGGAAATTCTGGCTCTGAAGGAAACTTCTTACAAGAGACACCAACATCTTTCTTCTTTAATATAGCTGAAATCAAAAGATCATCATCATTGAAATGGAAGAAATGTGATCTCTTTTTCCCACCTCCCTTCCGATCCTCTGACTTAATAGCCTTCCAAACTTTATGGCTCTTATCAGAACCCCGACACAGACCTTCAATGGGTGAAAAAACTTTCTCTCCACTGTCCTTAACCCAGGATGTTTTACGAATGTTTACATCACATGTTGTGACAAATGCTTCCTTTGAATTAGAACACTGGTGCTTAATCTTCCTGGACTTGGTAGGAGACTTATATAATGATATCACAGTAGAATGGTTATCAAAACATGAAACAGTATCATTATATCCATTTTTCATTAGCTTGTGAAGCAGCATACCATCCTGACCTTCACTTAAGCTAGAGGAAGTAATTGCAGTTTTTTCCTTTGCAGGAATGAATGGTATTTCGTTCATGTCTTTGGTCAATCTTCTAGCTGTTTTGTTTTCCAATTTCAGAGTCCTCTTATCTATCTTTATATAATCTTGAATTTTAGATGTATGTGAACTTTCGTCCTCAGAGGTGCTTAGCACATTACCGGTTCGCCTTTTCAGAAACAGTGACGGCTCCAAGCATTCTGAAGTCAACATATCAGAAGCTTCATTGCATGGAAGATCTGGAAGATTACTATTACTGTCATCCAAGCTGTGCACGACATTCTCTCTGTGTTTTCTTTTTGATATCGGTCTGCTCTTCCTTCCAGGAACTTCAGCTTCTTTGATTTTAGATATTTTCTTAGATTTCTTGTGTGCTTTTTTAAGCAAATAGTTCTGCAACTTTACAGGAGACGTTTCTTTAGCAGAGAAAGCATCTGCACTTTTTAAACCTAAGGATATTTCAGTAGCATTAGTCAGGGCTAACCCATGAACAAGCTTCTCTTTCATTGAGAATCCATTCGTCTCATTAAATGATTGACTTTCTAGTTGATCAAGGGATGACTTATGTAGCAAGCTTGTTGTTTCTTGCTGTAATGCATTCTCAGCAAGTAATTTACAGGCAGAGCCACATGGATTCTCACTTTCTAAATCAGAACTGACAGGACTATCACAACCAAAATTGTATGGAGTTTCTGTAGGATTTAAAGCAAGTAGATGGTTTTCAGCCAACTTGCATTTACTGGACAAACATTTTGATTTCCTTTTCCTGCTTTCGTTCATATTTACATCACACATATCTTTGCTACACCCGGGAATAAGAGTTGCACTATTTACAGCTCGCAGCAATTTCCCCATTCGCAAAATACTTAATTTTCTATCAATGAACACAACTGTGAGGAAAGGATCAAGAAGCTGCCATCGTCTTATAAAGGACAGTTTGTTCTCTTGCTGCAAGATGTTCATATCAATGTACGCAAGTATGTCCTTCAAATCACTCCAAAACTCATTAATATCAGACCATTCTCTTACCCGATCATCCTTTTCTGATTCTGAAGCAGTGTAGAGAAGCCTCTCACCACATTTCTTCCAAGCACTAGAAAGTGAAAAACGAGCAAGCCCTTCATCAGGTTTCCTGAAAAGGAAAGCCAATCTACTTCTCTCCCTACGTACACGGGTTTCAATTATCCATCCTGTATCCGCAAGAAGGCCGTGTGCATATGACTCGAGTCGATCTGCCATTTCCCTAGTCGTAACTCTCTTGGAAAACCCTGCTGACGGGTGTCTCTTTAAGGTTTCAAGTGCAGGTTCGTCCATGTATGAAGCAACTCCACTGTATTCTTTAACATCAACGGTGGATCTTCTCTTTACAAGACCAGAAGCAATGCTCTCTTGAGAAACTGGAGAAGTCACAAAATCAGAATCCAACTTAACCTTGTTGTCTCCAATTTCTTGAATTGAACTTTTGTGATTCAAAATTGCACAATTAACATTATCGGAAGCAACATCCATACTGCACAGCTGTTTAACAGAATAATAGCTCGATAAGATGCCATGGGCAAAAGATTCAACAATGCAGAATGAGAATGGCCGATAATCATGGGAAACTGGCTTTACCAATTCACTATTCTCGTAATGATAGTTGCCGTAACGTTGTAAATTCTCTTTATCCAAAACACCAGGGAGCAGCAATCTGCTCTCCCTTGAATTCAGTTTAGCAGATCCAAAGCTCTTAAGCATATAATCTGATCTAACTGTGTCCTTAGAATTGACTATTTTTGCAAGCTCTAGTGCTTCACCTGATGCATCGTTCATGGAAGAGCAGCTTGTAATGTTTGAATTTTCCAGGTTAAAATTAATGCGAGCCTCTCTGTTGCAGCCCCAAACACCAACTCTATGAGAATTTGAAGCTCTATGAAAATTTGAAGCCCGCGAAACAGCACAACTATTACTTTCATCCTGAGGAGATACTCCATAAAAAATATCGGAAAATATCTGGCATTCTTCCTTTGAACCATCAAACCAATTGTAGGACAAACTCTCAATCTCTTCACCGAATAGTATTATCATCACCGCCTCCTCCTTCAACCCCTTGCCAACTGTCTGACCATCAATCGCCATTTTCCAGCAGACACTAAGCAAAGTTCGTTATCACTGCATTTCAGCTACGGAGATGAAAGCAGTGTCAGGTTTATAGCAAAGATTGGACGCATAAAGAGCAAATCAAGGAGTTAAAGAAGGCGATTGCTTTGATCAGAGGAGGGGAGACCAGTTGAATGAAACAGAGCAAAGCGGCGCATACTTATTGTAATTGAAGTCAGCGAACCCTGAGATTGAGGATTAATAGAAATTAAGAACAATGGCATATGTGAGCGTGCAGACAAGCACAAGCCTATTCAGAACAAACTTCAATAATTCACAGGAAAGCAATACATAGTGAACAAAAGCCGAGTGATTACATACATAGCACTCGAAACATTGAAAAAGAATGAACACAAATAAATTTCCACCACCCGGCCACATGGTATACCAGGTCCTCAGCATGAGCAGAAATAAAATAATAATAATAATAACTAAGAAAGCTGAGGCTGAATTCTCAGGTCCTCACCCAATCTTTCCACTGAGAAGAAAAACCCTAAAACTCCCGCCAATGGGTTTCAATCAAACCCGTTAAGCCGCCATAATGATAAAATGTACATCAAAATTCCCAAAAGAGAAGCATCAAAAGTGACCGCAGCAATCACAACGGACTCCAGAACTAAAATCTAAAAAATCAAAGAAAAAAGGGTCAGATCATCAACCTTACACTCACATTCAGTAACAATTCCGACTGCCTGCATCCAGGAACCCCAAACCCCAAGATGATCAAACCAAGATGACAAGTGGAAGCAAATCGAAATAGAAACCAAAAACGGACTAAATGCCAGAAAACAAGCAAAAAATGGAACGGGAAGGAGAGGATAAATGGGAACTCATCCCCTCAAAGAAAAAGAATCAGGTTTAGGTGGATAGCAGGAGAGAAGGAGAGAGAGAGACAGTGAGAGAGACAAGAACGCCGCCTTTTGCGAGTAGCTCCGTTCTCCATCTTCCGTGGGCTAAATACGCTTCAAGCGTGACCAAACGACTCGCCTCTACCATGGGATCACATGAGAGGTGTTGTAATTCACTGAGCTCTGCCTGTGAATTAACGAAGCGTTACCGAGGGGGTTGATCAGATGAGAAGGACCGGCAGTGGCCTGTGAGTTGCTATACTCCAATGTTTGGTGTCAAATAGAGGCAAAAAGATTTGCGTGCATTAGACGTCGCAGCGCTCCCTACATCGCCCAATGACCGCGTGACAAATCATCAATGTCGGTCTCACTCCAATGTTTGGTGTCAAATAGAGGCAAAAAAATTTGCGTGCATAAGATGTCGCAGCGCTCCCTACGTCGTCCAATGACCGCGTGACAAATCATCAATGTCGGTCTCATCACCTTTATTCAAACGCGATCCGTCGACCCGACCTGCTCGGTTATAATCGAGTTATAACTGAGCAGTACAGGAGGTGTAACCGAGCGGGCCATTACCGCGGTACCGCTCTAATAACAGAGTTGTAACCTTCCTGTAACTGCAAGATGAATGAACCACGCTTATAACGTGGTCGTAACCGAGATCTAACACAGCGCCGTGTAACCTAGCAATATAAACGAGCTATAACTTCGCTGTAACTGAGACTTCATACCGCACGTTGTAACCCAGCAGTATAACTGAGTTGTAACTGACGCAGTAACCTCCGTTGTCGTTGTATCGAGGCTGTGTAACTCCCTGGTAACCTCTGCACCCCGCCCGAGCAAGGTACCGCGGGTTTGTAACTTGTCTGTAATCTGCGAGAACCCTTCGCCTTATAGCCGCGTGATAATCTTCTTTAAAAATTCAGAGCGCGTGAATGCTCGTATTTAAGATGCAGAAAGCTAGGGTTTACTGTTTTATTACATTTTGATGTTGAAGATGGACCGCACAAGGTGGCATTTCCTCTCTGACGGGGAAGGAGAAGATATATTTCCAGCCAACACAAAACAAGTCGATGTTAAAGTGGAGGTATATTTGTTGTATGTTTGTAGTTCTGTAATTTTTTTAGAGAAATATTTGTCTTTTTTTCTGCCAGGATATCTTTGTTTCTTGGTGTGTTTAGGTCTGTTTATTTTGGTGTTTTCGTTGGTGTTGGTGTTTTCGTTGGTGTGTTTCGTTGGTGTGTTTCTTGCTGTGTTTTATGGTGATTTTCTTTGTGTGTTTTGAGTAGAGATCTTTAGTTTTTTATTAAAATGTAGTCTATTTTTAGGGTGATCTTATTTGTTGTATGATTTACAAGAATATTATAGATGTGAATGTTTGTAAAATTATGATTTTTTTTTTCGTGATGTGATAATTAGGGTTTATTGCAATGTTCTTATTTGTTGTGTGTGTTTCTTATTTGTAGGCTTGTTTGTTGTAGTAAAATATTTGTAGGGTAGTTTAATAATAGTTTAATATAGTTTTATATTTGTTTGCAGTTGGATGAGAGTGAAGCTAAATGTAGAGATAAAAGTGCAAATATTTTACTTGAAACGGTTGTCCACAATGACAAAGAAGTTTATGAAGTATATTGAGTAGATTGTGCTTACGCTCATCATATCGAATTTAGTGTCCGTAAGAAGCACGACACATTCTGGCCTAACTCCAACAATCTTAAGAAGAAAGACTTTGTTTGTGGGAGAGCATGTTTCAAGAAAGAGTTGAAGGCCACACAAATTGTTAAATACAAAAGAGCGGACACAAGAAGCGGTTGTCCGGCTATGATTCGTTACGCAGTTGATGCTGAAGGCAATTGGACAGTTAAAAAATTCATTGAGTCTCATAACCACTGCTTAGCAAACCCTGATGTTAAGCATCTCTTGAGGTCTAGTAGAAAGATAAGTGAAGTTAATGCAAAGGTTCTCAAATCGATGACACTGTCAGGAATAAGACCTAGAGATGCGTTTAACTTTCTAGCCACAGAAGTTGGGGGAGTTGAGAAACTGGAGTGCACTAAGATAGATGCCTTTAATTTCATTCAAAGAGAGAGGAGATGTAGAATTGAAAACGACGATGCCAATGCTTTATTGCAACTTTTCACAAAGAGCCGTGCTGAGGATAACATGTTTGAGTGGGACTTCAAAATTGATGAGACTGGTAGGCTAAAGAGTTTTTTTTAGTGTGACGGCTCTTCCAGGCTTGATTATGATTGCTTTGGTGATGTTATCATTTTTGATACTAGCAATTGAGTCTCATAACCACTCCTTAGCAAACCCCGGTGATAAGCATCTCTTGCGGTCTAGTAGAAAGATCAGCGAAGTTAATGCAGAAAGGAGACGACAGATTCTTTCAAATGTCTTTTTAAAACTTTTCTCCGTATTATGAGCGACAATCATTCAATTACAATATATACTGATCAGGACCAAGCAATGGGAAAAGCCATAGAACAAATCATGTCAAATACACGACATAGATTATGCAGTGGCACATATATAAGAAGTTGCCTACAAAGGTTCATTGCGAGTTAGCGAATAAAATAGTAGCTAAACTTTTTTATAACGCTACAGAGTTTTTTTTGGTGTGATGGCACTTCCAAGCATGATTATGATTTCTTTGGTGATGTTATCATTTTTTATACTAGCTACAAATTAAATAAATATAACTTGTGTTGTGCTCCTTTTGCTGGTGTTAACCATAATTGACAGAATGTTCTCTTTGGCGTTGGTTTTTTGTCAGAGGAGACGACGTATTCTTTAAAATGGCTCTTTAAAACTTTTCTCCGTATTATGGGTGACAATCATCCAATTACAATATATACTGATCAGGACCAAGCAATGGGAAAAGCCATAGAACAAATCATGTCAAATACACGACATAGATTATGCAGTGGCACATATATAAGAAGTTGCCTACAAAGGTTCATTGCGAGTTAGCGAATAAAATAGTAGCTAAACTTTTTTATAAATGTATGAGCAAATGCGAGTCTGAAGAGGAATTTGATAACTCATGGGAGATGATGATTGTGAGTTGTAATCTACAAGACAACGTTTGGTTAGATGAGATGTACAACATCAGAGATAAGTGAGCAACAACCTTTAATAAGGATGTATTTGGAATGAGAATTGTATCCACCTAGAGAAGTGAATCAACAAATAATATATGTCATTGTGTCGCTATGCCCACAAGTTCTATTACGGATTGTTTTTTGGGCCTTGAGCAAGTCATGAGAACAGTATTCTTTAAAATGGCTCTTTAAAACTTTTCTCCGTATTATGGGTGACAATCATCCAATTACAATATATACTGATCAGGACCAAGCAATGGGAAAAGCCATAGAACAAATCTTGCCGAATACACGTCATAGATTATGCCAGTGACAAATATATAAGAAGTTTCCTATGAAGGTTCACTGCGGGTTAGCGAATAAAATAGTAGCTAATCTTTTTTATAAGTGTATGAGCAAATGCGAGTCTGAAGAAGAATTTGATAACTCATGGGAGATGACGATTGAGAGTTGTAATCTACAAGACAACGTTTGGTTAGATGAGATGGACGGGACTATTATGTGCTCACTCTCTATGAGTATTAAACTTTCTACACATTAAGAAAATCTCAGATAAATATCTCCTATTGAGATGGTTCATGGTGTCGCTAAGCCCACAAGTTCTATTACTAATTGTTTTTTGGGCCTTGAGCAAGTCATGAGAACATGGAGGCGTAACGAAAAGGTTGAAGATTATAAGTCCGATCAATTTGTGATCACTCCAGTTGCTAAAAGCAGCCCTATATTGAGACATGCATCTGTATTTTACTCAAGAAAGCTCTATAATATGTTTGAGATAGAGTTTATTCATGGATCATGTGCAGGATTCAATGAAAAAATTATTGTTGGATATTGATAATATAATAAGTGGACGAAATTCAAAGTCAAGGAGACAAGCTAAAAAAAACAAAAATCAGGTGAATAACCAATCAAAGCTTCTTGATCCCGCTAAAATGCGACCCAAATGAATATCCAATGTTAGGCTAGACGGGGCTATTATATGCTCACTCTCTACGAGTATTAAACTTTCTACACATTAAGAAGATCCCAGATAAATATCTCCTATTGAGATGGTCCACGAATGTAAAGAGAGATGTGTATAACAATGACGCATACAAGCACTTCCAACAGTCACAAATGTGGAATGATGGTATAGGTAGCCTAATATTCGTTACCTGATTTTGTAACACAGGTCAGGAACCTTTTGTTATTTTTTGTTGTTTTGTGTATCTTATAATAATTTTGGTGCTTCCAAATATCGTTGGATATTGATAATATAATAAGTGGACGAGGTTCAAAGTCAGGGAGACAAGCTAAAACAAACAAAAATTAGGTGAATAACTAATCAATTCTTCTTGATCCCGCCAAAATGTGACCTAAAGGAATATCCAATGTTAGGCTAAAAGGTTATTGGGAGAGAGAAAAGAGCAAAAGGTATATCTTGGTAAAAATTTTTGTTTTTTTTTCTTGGGTGTTTTATCCAATAACAATTCCGACTGATTTTCTCCGATTGAGTTTATGACAACTTAAACAGGTAAACCGGTTGAAGTTTCTAGCAGTCAAGAACCCAATGATTTAAATCCTTATCCAAACATATCGTCATTGCCTGATTTTCTAACACAGGTCAGGAACCTTTTGTTATTTTTTGTTGTTTTGTGTATCTTATAATAATTTTGGTGCTTCCAAATGCATAATTTCTTTCCTCCAAGGCACAGGGAATCATACACTGCAATGATGACAGATTTAATACATGATCAGTAAGTATTTTGACATATTCTTTATTTGAAATGTTTTTATTTATTATTATTGACAAATATGTTCCTTTGTTTTTTTATACAGATTCTAATTAGGATGTATGCAACAATTATGTGTCGATGACAATTTTATTGAGACATTAATTTTGGTGTATTTTTTTTGAGGAGGATGTATCTAAAAATTTGTATACATTTATGCATCTGTGTCCTGCTGTTCTTAACTCTGTTAATATGGATGAATGTTTCATTCTCTCTATAAGAACTGCATAAAAATCATTTTTTCATAATGTTGGCCAGCCTTTTTTGGTGGCTCATAAAATCGGGTGTTGCAAAGACATTTAAACTAGCTTTATATCATAATTCCAGCTGTAATGATGCATAATTCCAGCTGTAATGA